ATTTCAAGAGAATTGCAGGGAATGATGTCGATGTCATGCAGGATATAGTAAGAAATTTATCTGCTGTTATTATATAACAGCGCTTTATAAGACAGTTAATTATAAAGAAGGGTGGCATATAGAGACTAACGTACACGAAATCAAAACTTGGTAAGATTGTAAGACGAAAAAGTTGTCACGAACAGGCTGGAAAATTGAAACTTAATTAAAACTTCCAACGAAAATATTCGGACACTAGCATAACTTTGACTCCTATGTTATATATCTGAAATAAATATAGATAAAATAACAAAGATGTTTCGCAGTATATTGAAATATAGTATTAGGTCGTCCGAAAAGTTTCTTTCGTTTTATAAGGAAATAATGAATGCACAACATTTTCCGTTTTATATTATTTTATCGAATTACGTATGATCCATTTTGTTCTATCAAACTAAAGATCACAATCGACAGATTAGGTTTCATGTTGGTATAAAGATGCGTTGTTGTAAAAGACGGGTCTGTAAAAGAAAGACACTTTTCGGACAACCTAATATGTAGATGTCAAGAAATAAATAACCGTTGATTTAAAGCAAACCGTCGTTTAACATGAAAAGAAATATTGCTTTATATCGATGGATTTATACTGATCTTTATACATCAAAAAATTTAGAATAGTAACTTTTTTGCTAAAAGTTTAATATTTTGTCCGATGCCTCTTTTGTTCCGTAACACGTTTTACTCTTCGTCATCATTTTACTGTCGTTTTTCTATTGTTATCTTTTACTAATTTTACGGTTCAGTTCCTAAACAGTAGTTTACGTTTTTAGTTATGCAAACAACTCATTGTTTCGGTTCGATAAATTAAATTTATAACGTATCGGAGTATTCTCGAAAATTCCAAATTCATTTTTCTTCGGTTCTATTCTTTTATTGTCAGTCCGAATATTTGCAAAACACGAAAATTCACTATATTACGTTTCTTTTAATGTTTAAACATCGGTTCGTTTTCAGTCAAAAGTTTCTTACTTTCTGACATCTAAGTACTATACCTCAGTATACTAGAAAACATCTTTGCTATTTTATCTGTATTTACTTCAGATATAGAAGATAGAAGTCAAAGTTATGCTAGCTTGCGAATATTTTCGAGACCGACCGTATACGTATTTCCTAAATAAAGCTCGTAATATTAACATTTATTTTCGACCTCCATTCGAATACACCTCCGTGATGCCAAAGAGACGTTAAATACGCCTCAGCAAGCATAACGTCACTGAATTAACAAATAAAACGAAACGTCCATTTTCATAAAATACCAGACAATCTAAATAATTTTCCTCTTGTTACCCATTTAATAAATAATTCAACAGGAAGGCAAAGTAACGAAGATAAATCATTCTCTCGCATTGAAAAAGAGTAAAAGCCAAAACAAAACGGAATCGCTGCCATTAATAAACCATAGCGAGGTATCGAAGTGAAAAGGAAAAAAGAAAGGCATATCGATCGACCAGCGAAATCGAACGCGTTTCATCTCGATACGGTGGAAAATAAATATTTTTTCCTGCCCGTTTCCACGCGTTTCGTATGAAATTCCACCTTTCACAGCCAGACAGCAACGAGTAAACAGCGTACGGAAAATATTTCGACGAACGTACATATATCACGGTCGAACAGTCGTGTTCTAACGAAATATCATTTTGCAAACATATCACACGGCGATCTCCGCTGAATTAATGCGACAAGTATGCCAGCTCGCGACCGTACGATATCGCATCGCGAGAATTTCAAAACGAATGCAAATAAATTTCTCGATACGTTTTCCGCTGGCTCTGATCGAAACGCCAACGATTTGTTCGTCGGATAATCGTCGTGTTCGCAATTTTCTCCATCGTGAAAAGGAAAGTTTCTAGGCCTCTAGTAGGAGGCAGTCGAGGAGGAGTTCCAAAATCATAGGAATCTTATCGAAGTGTAGAACAGATGGTAGATGCAACGTTGAGGTCCTAGTTTCCGTCTCATTTTTAAGGACTGTTGCATGTTTGGTTTCTTATTTAGATTTTGATCGAGGCCATTTTAAAATTAATGATTTTATCACTCAACTACTTCCTTCCTCGAATCGATAAATTTCAATATCGATATAAAAATGATAGCTGTGTCTCAATTAGTATGTGATTGTCTTAATCAAAGTTTTAAGGGAGGATTAAGACAGTAAACGTCTATCGATTAGAACGAGCCAAAGAATTTAACTTATATATGAACACTTGGAGAATTTGAAGTTTACAATTTAAATTTCGATTGTAAATTTGGAACTTTTACGAAAGTTTCAAGCTCCAAAGGTTTTGAATTTGAGCCCGAAATTAGCTTCAGTTTTGCATTTAAACACTATCTCGACTCTCTTGAAGTTACTTGAATCGAACATAAATGAATTATTTATTTTCGATCGTCCACTACAATCATCCCAAGCAATTGGATTATATTTAAATTAACCATTCTGACTCCAAATATCGTATTCGTCCGATTCTATTAGTGAATTAGCATTTTTCTACTAACTGAAAATAAAAGAAACATCGCTCATCTTTTTATTCAGCAGCTTTTTTATTGTTTTAATTATAAAGAAGTAACAAAGAATAATAATTTCATGATATTACCATACTTTCTCTCTCTTCGTCGTTCGCGCTCGCACACTCTCCCTTACATGCTCTCTCTACGAGCTCTCTCTCGCTCTCTCCCTTTCATTCTTCCACGCTTTCTCTCTCTCGCTGTCTCTATGTATTTATATCAATATTATTTTAATAGATATACTCATTCACGTATTGAATATCGTGGCAAATATATAGATAAAGGTTTCATCTAACGTTCACACGTCGTGGATTAGCGACCGTGCAACAGAGACGCGTCTCTGTCTCCTCCCTTTCATTTCCAATCGTCAAACCCGCAACTCCAAGGACTTCACTTTGCGCATAATTTCTCTGACCTTCGATCCTTAACACGTTTGGCTATGCGCCAGGCCAACGCGTATTTTTAAGTTATACGAGCAAATGAGAATAAAAATGAATTATTTAGTGGAATAATCATGAACAAATGCATAAAAATCCACAGTCCACCAATGTAGTTCACGTGTTGTAATACTAAAACAAAGGAATTTTCAAACAGTGGAGTTGATCAGTTGTTATAAATGTCTCGTATCTCGTAACATTACCGCGGCCCAGTAATGAACGTTTCGATAAACATTTTACACTTTTCTTTTGCTTAGCAGTCTCTTTTTAAACAATTCATTTTTCTCATCTGTCTTTCCAACTGAAAATAGATAAACAGAAAAAAACAACTATTGTTAAGGAAATACGGGGAAGGCAGACAACCGGAAGTCCGTTGATTCGCGGGTTTAAGATTGATGGTCGCGTGTCGAAGGAGGCGCTGCACGGAAGTGTCCGTCCCAGTCAAGAAATTTCCTCTTGACTCGTCGCGACACTTCGAACGGACCTAATGACTGGATATTCGTCGCGACTTAACCATACATCGATTCGCGGAGACGAGTCGCTGGGTCTCGAAGGAAACCGGAAATCGGACCGGAGAACAGGATCTGCTCGGTCGTTTCTTCAAGGTTCGATTCATTTTTTCCTATCATTTTTCTTTGTCTCTCCGACAAGCATTTTCTATTCAACTCTTGAATTTAATTTCGTTATTCCGTTGTTAATTCAAGAATTCGTTTCATTCCTCCCTTGCCCATTCGATAGAAATACGAAAATAGTTTCTTAACCTTAAACGTTGCGAAAATTTCGTCAGTTTTGTTTGGTTATTTCTTTTTTTTTTGCTAGGGAACTCCTTCTTTGTTCTCCTCCTTCTTTTTCGAGGAAGATGCTTTTGGACTGTTCATTTGCAACGATTCGGAACATGTTGATGGAGATGGACGAAACTCGCAACGAGATAACAAAAGAATTTTCCCAAACTTCCTCTAAACTTTCAAGGTCCGCAAGGCTTTCGTGTCGCTTGGATCGCTAAGTAGTTGGAGGATACTGATACTGTGTCGAGGTGTGTATAAAATTTCTATAAAAGTCGAGGAAAACTAGTCTAAATCGGCAAATCTATTCTGCGTTGTTGTATCAAAATCAATATCAACGAATAAAGTCCTTCCAACTGGTATTTAAAGCGTCCTCATATATTTCACGATCCTCTCGTCGAATCGGATACTAAAATCGTATAGATCTTGCCATTGAAAATTCCTAGCTTCTTCTTTTCACCCATTCCCTGCTATTTACATTGATCGTAAAACGAAATTAAATTCGACGAGAATTAATTCATCAATTCGGTTCCATTCGATGAGAAGCAAACCTCACCGAAATTTGGTTATTTTCTCCTTTTTTTTTAAAAAAATATAAGAAGAACTTTAAATTTCTGCTACCATATAGAATCGACACCTGCAATTTTCAAGCTCGTTTTTAGAGAAACAAACGCGTTCTGCAAGACGTACGATGATAAAACACGTGCCTCGGTTTCCCCAGAACAGAGGACGAGGCTACGTTTACGTAAATCCATCGAACGCATTATCTTCTCCAAAAATGTCGATCAAAACTAGAAGACACTACCAACGAATTGGCTTCGGTCAATCGTTCGATGATCATTTGCGTACGTTCCCGTGGTTTTGCTTTGTTCTAGAAAGCTCGTAATGCTTCAACTAATTATCTCAAAATATACTTTACTAAAATCTTACATTTTCTCGTCTTTGTCTCTCAAGAATAGAAAACTGGCTTGGTTTTTTTTTTCTTCATAGAACGTAATGCTTTTATTCGAAAAACCATTGAGCTAAAGATCGATCTTAAAGCGTGTTACAGCAAAATACGATCATCTTTCGTTATCGTCATCGATTTTTCAAACGAATATTAGGAACAAACATCGACTTAATTCGCGAGAAAAAACGCACACTCGATTATCAAGCGATACGTCGACTCGAAGCACGTCGTTGTCATAGATCGTTTTGAACACGTGACTGACCGGAAGCACTGTCGAAATCCCCTGGCTCGTTCCGGTTTCCGACGACAATCGTGCGCGTTCGCTCGCTCAACTAATAGAAACTCGACAACATTGAACTATATCGAGAATTATCGCCTAGACTACAAAATTCCAACAACTAATTGGGCGCCTCCTATCGAAGAAACTAATGTGTACTAATACCAGGCGCCCTCCCCTTGACCTCACCGACGCCATCCTGGATCTTCTCCCTTTGATCGTTTTTTTTTTTTTTTTTTAATAAAGAGATCTGCCACGAAACTGCCCCCTCTCGATCGGGTTAATTGTCTATTTATTCCTGGGCAGAGTACCAATTGTTTCTGTCGTCCATTCCAATCGATAATTAAAATATTGCCGACTGAACCTCTTTCTATTAAACTTTATAGAACAGTAACAAACTTTAACTTAATAATATTTTAATATTCTATCGGAGTCAATAACTGAAACGTCCTCGAGCGAATATTCTTGCATTGAATATCGTAAAATAGTGGAATATAGAATATTATGAAATCTTATTGAAAATCTAAAATAAATTTCAGCAACGTGTATCTATGGATCTAATATCAAATTTACAAGTTTCTGCACGAAGTTCACTCTTCCTAAAATTCTCATCAAAATCTGTAGTGTCGCTGTTTCACTGAGAAAAATAGATTCATAAATCAAGTCAGCAATGGTTTTTTATAACGGAACAATATCCAGCGATTCTAAAGGTTCAGAGATATTTTATTTTATTCCAAAACTAAGGTTCACCAGAGGATTGGACTCTGCCCAAAATTGGCGAGAGAGAGAGAGAGAGAGAGAGAGAGAGAGAGAGAGAGAGAGAGAGAGAGAGAGAGAGAGAGAGAGAGAGAGAGAGAGCTGCAATTCAAATCGATTAATGGAGGTCCGAGCGACATGGGCGGGGATTCGATCCAGGAAGCGAGATTGATCGGCACCACCCTCGTCCGCCGTATTTGCACGAGAAACTATATGTAAGAAAGAACACTCTCTCGCGAAAAACGAAAAGTTTCCTCCATTACCGCATGCACGCTCGCATATACGCTCATGCAGGCAAACAATCAGGAAACGTTCTCTCTTATTCTTTCCGCCATTTCCTCTTCGCCTTATTAAACCCATTCGCTCGTTCTTGTACGCGTGAAACGAAATTTTCTTGAAACTTTTCTCGGCGGATCTCCGCAGCCAAGTACAAGGAAAGCCACTGAACGATGGAGACACGAAACAACATCGCGAAATTAACAGCGCACCTTCGATCGCTCGAATCGATAAATAATGACACACGTTGATCGATCTACATTGATCGAGGAGGGTGATCGTTTGTTTGCGAAAAGTCGCTATTTGTAATGTAATGTATAATTTTTAGCGACTTTTAAACGCGTGTGAAGCTCGATCGAAGCTTTCGTAAAAGAATCTGCGATCTAATTTCTCGTTTTTTTTTTTCTAGGATTCCATGAACATCGAGCTTGCCCGGAATCGACGGTGTATTTTTTTTCTATAAAATTATAAAACATCTGGATCCGTTTTCATCATTTTTCCGCTCGTTTCTCCTCCTCGATCCTTTGCTGATTTTCTTTCGAAGCGTTCACCACCCTCGACCGGTGTTCGTGCTCCACGAATTCGTGTCTCGGCCGGAAGCGCATGTCGCTTCCGTTCGCCAAGCGGCTCTAGCGCACAATGTTCTTAATTAATAAAATGAACAGCACGCCGCTGCTTCTCTGGGCTTTACTAAATACGACTAAACTGGTTGTTGCGAGGTTTCCACTGCTGTCGCATAAGTCGCATAAGTTCTCTTTGGAAGCGATCGCGCTACGTCTTTCTCGTTTCTTTGTTATTTTCTTAAAAATGTTCCTTTCTTTTCTTTTGTTTTGTTTTAAAGAAAAGAAACACGTGGCTGCGAGCCGGTGTTTCGATGGACGTGCGACAAAAGAGTGGCATTTATACGGAAACAAGGTCGACGAATGCGGCACAATATCTAAAAAATTGATAGCAGTAGAGTAGCAATAATATTAATAAGAATAATCATTTTTATATAAGAGTAATAAGAATAACGAGATAATAGTAGTAGTAATAGTAGTAATAAACAAAGCATTTGACAAGCTGCAGAATACAATACAAAGGTACAAATAATAGGGAACAAAAATCCATTATCATTATTCTCGGGACATTGGTCGTGTCACGAAATTAACATAAACAATATGTATTTTGTGAGATTGTGTGTATGTCTGTGTGTCTGTGTTCACGAACAGGCTGCATACAGGCGCATTGTATCAACGCACGCGTCTTTTACGCTTTTTCTCTTAATTTTTTAAACGAACAGCATCTTTTCTGGCGCCCCTCTCGATCAACGAAAGGACGATTTTTCCTACTTTTTTTTTATCAACGATCGATTTAAATATCGTCAGTGTTTTATCAATGCGTCACGAGCTTTTTCGTATTCTTTCTCTCTTTTACACATACTCTCTCTCTCTCTCTCTCTCACGCTTTCACCGTGTTTCCTACATGACACTCTCCCATTTCGTTTACTTTCCAAACATTTCAAGCAATCACTCAGAATTGTTCTCCCCACAATTTTATTCCCTTTCCCTTTCCACCTGTTCTTCCATTCGTCCTTTCTCTCTTTCTCTTCGTACGCACAAACACTGTTCCGCTTTTTGTGTCGTATGCTTCGATATTTATATATATGTATATATATATATATAAAAATACAAAAAATAATTTACAAAATGATATTATAAGTATATTACACGCGAGTTTCATTTTTGTCTCACACTTGTCTATTTTTTGGTTTTCTCTTTCTACCTTCTTTCGCTCACGTCCCTAGATTTCAGCCGGTGTGTTACTTGTCGATAGTTCGTGTCTTCTATGCGTATGTGTACGCGTGTGTACGTGTATGTTCGTATGTGTAATGTGTACTTTCATACCTCTCTTCTTTCCTCCTGTATTTTGTTCCGAAATTCACTAACTTTTTCTCTCTTCCTTCTGAAAGAACGGCTGGAAAACGCTCGAAAAATTTCAAGAAACGCTTCTGTCAATTCTTTCTCTCTCACTCTTCCATTTCATCCTTTTCAAACTGATGTTTAATTCAGAACAAGCAACACGCCGAAAACTCTGATTCTCTCTTCTCTTTCTCTCTCTCTCTCTCTCTCTCTCTCTCTTATATCTCGTTCCCATTTTTTTTTCTTAGATTTTTCGTTTTTTTATTTTGCTCTTTTGGTTTATCTCCTCGTTAAACAAAATATAATGTAGCAGTGTATGTATATGTATATAATATATATATGTATATATAATCGATATTTTCTCATATAAGTATGTATAATGCTCTATACATATATATTTATACTTTTATATATATGCACGTGTCCTCTATTTGTATACATATATATATCTACATATATATATGTATATATATATGTATTTTTATATTAATAACGCATTTGTGGGATTCGTAAAGAGATATAGAAAACAAATCTGTTACAACAGAATAAATTACCGTAGTTATATCAAACCACTGTATTATTAACAAAAATATATATATGTATATATATAGCAGTATGTAATATATTATTTGGAGGAGCGAAGCACGCTGGTATAATCAAATATATCATACAAAAAAAAAAGGACAAAAAGAAACAACAATAACAAACTATCAAAAAGAAAAAAAATAGATTAAAATAAACAGTAAGAGAACAAAAAGAAAAAAGAAGAAAGTGATTCGTGAAAAGAGTCACCTTAAAAACTAAGAATATTTGCGGACGTCGCTGATCGTTTCGCGAAATCGTCGAACGATATCATTGTTCTAACAAACGACTTTTGTCAATGATCAGCATCGTGCGCGCGATCGATAGATCCACCATACATAGATCTTTAAATCGATGCAACGGTAAGAAAAAAAGTGTTCGTGTATATAAATATATATATATAAATACATATATACATATATTTGTATATATATGTATATATATACATATTTATAGCTTACATAATGCACACGTAGTAAAGGTAAAACGGTTTTCGTACAAAAATAAAGGAACAAAATCTAAAGCCAACAGAAAATACATCTCGATTACAATAATTCTATATATAATCAATATTAATAATAATAATAATAATAATAGTAATAAAAAAAGGATAAGAAGTAGTATAAAGGAAACAGCGGTAGCGGTTGAAAAAGGTACCTATATACAGATATACATATATAGGCGCACAGTGTCTCGCTGTTTGTCTCGCTTGCAGACATCCTCATGCTTACCCACTTGCACCATTTATTCTTTCTCTCTGTTTCTCTCTCTCTCACACACGCATACATTTTCATTCATATTCGTACGTACACGTATCATTAAATCGTCTCTCGTTCTTCCATTCGATACGAGTGATAACAAGTGTAACACGTCCATAAAAAAGTGGTAAAACGACGATACGGTGGAAAGAACATAGGCGCGCACATATGTAAACCGCCAGCGAACAGAACGAAAAGGAAAACGCGTCGCGTTACGCAAGGGGTTGAGAAACAAGGGATCTGCACCTGAACCGAGAACCGAGAAATTTTCTCGCGCGGTCCTCAGCCACCGGAAATTTCGTTTCACCGCGTTGATCTTTCGTTTCTTCGCATACTCTGGTTGTGCGGTGCTTCGAACGATCGTCGATGCACCGTTCGCGACTAAATTCATCGAAAATTCACGCGATTCGCATCCTTTTATTCGCACACGACGCATACACATGTGTATTCTATCTTTCTCTCATTTCACGCTCTCATCGGTCATTATTCTCACACTATTATCTCTTCTTTCTTCTTGTTTCTTTTTTTTTTTTTCATTTTCTCCGGCCTCTCTGCCGCTTGTTTCATCCCTCTCTTGCTACGTACGAAACGATGAAGACTGGGGCCTGGGGTGGGGCTTCGGAGAAGGGGCATTTCGTAACAGTTACATTTAGGATGCACTTACACGAGTAACATAGTTGCTTGTTTTTTTGGTTTTTCTTTACCGTTTCGACACCGAGAGTGTGACTTGGGTGGGGTACAAAAAGGTTTCTTTCTTTCTCTCGTTCCTCGTAGATCTCTTCCTGCCCGGAGGGCGTAGCTTTAGAGTCAACATGGCGCGCCGCCCTCCGGTCCCGCAATCGAGGGCTGATCCGTCCATTTCCGGCTCTCCACGAACGTCCAAACGATATTTTCTTCTACATCGATTGAGTCTTGCTTCCTTGTTTAGCTCTCGTGTTTGATAGGTATAGGTATGTTTTCGTTACCGGGTCAGTTGCGACCCCGTGCAGAACCGGTAATCGACGGGCCAGTCCTCTTCGCCACGCTGTAATCGAGGTACAGCTCTACGCGGTATGTGTGTGTATATATAATATATATATAATATATATAATATATAATTATATGTATATAGTTTACATTCAGCAAGTAGTTAAAGTATTGAAAAATATATATGTAATTAATTACAAATCTAATGATCATCCTCTTGTTAATTCATTACTTGGTAGAATAATCGATAGGTTTTTTTTTTTGGGTCTTTCTTTGTGTTACTCTGTGTGCATGTGTGTGTAAGAGTGGGTCTGTGTTTCTGTGTATATGCTCGTGGGTGTACATGTATGTGCGTGTGCGCGCGCGCGCGCGCGTGTGTGTGTGTGTTGCATGTTGTAGCTTCGAGTGTGTCCGATACACAAAACGCATATTTAATATTGTTTTCTTCCATTCAGCTTTTCGTTTTGCTCTACTCTCGCTGTTTTAGCATGAAACGGCTTTCTCTTTTCAACTGTGCCTGGAGATCGTACCACGTTTGCTCACTTCCGCACTGACACGCGTGTGCTAGGCGCCACTGCTGCTCACATCGTTCTCTCTCGCTGTGTGCGTTATTATTCTCCTTTTGTTACTTTTTCCTTTTTTCTCTTTTTTATATTTAGCTTTCGACAGAAAAGAAAAGCCAGAACGAATCGATGATATACCGTTTCGAGTTGCTTTGAATTTTTTTCTGTTCCACTTTTTTTCTATTTTTCTCTTTTTTTTTTTTGAGTGATCCTTTTTTTTTAAATTACGCGTGTCAGAGCCACGCACAATTTTCCTATTTTCTTTCTCTCCTTCTGTGTCTCCTCTAGCCAACCTTCCATCGCTTCTCCACTCTATAAATGTATGAATATATATTATATCTAATATTGCAGTGTTCGGTTATCGCTATGACATTAGTTACGTTACCACGATTACTTGTTTCTCCATTTACGGTTAAAAAGACAATATCAATCGCTATAGTTTATAGACACATGATACTTTAAAGAGACAGATTTACCGTTTGTTACGTCTCTCTCGCTCGCGCTCGCTCTCTCGCTCTCTCTCGTTACTTCATGTTATTAATTAATAGTTTACTTTTTTTTATTCTTTTTTGTTTACTTCTTGTGTGTCGTGTACCCGAGTTGCTTCGAACGGTTATTCAGCTGTGTCCTGTGTGTGTACGTGTGTATGTTACGTGTTTGTGTGCGTGTGTGTATGTGTTTGTGTATGTATTTAACCTTAACCACTCGTCGTCATTATTTTTTTTCTTTTTTTTTTGTTAACGAATACATCCATTACAGATTATGGAAAACTATGCATAATTTTTTTTTTTGTTTCCTTGCTTACAAAGTGTTTCATTACAATCGTATTGTAATCGTATAATACTATATGTTTATCTTTTGTGTATCTCAATGTATGCTCTATATCAATATCCCATTCTTTTCTCTGCCCTTCTCTTCCTCCTCCCTCTCTACTCACTTTCTTTCAAATATCGCGCGACACATTAACCGTTCCATCTCTCCATTCGTCCGCCGTTTCGATTCGATTCAGTATCTCTCTCTCTCTCTCTCTCTCTCTCTTTCTCACTCCCTTCCGATTCGTTCCTTTTTCCTTTTTTTTTTTGGTTTTACTAGAAGAGTATACATCGTGTACGTGTGTTTGATTCTTCGCTGAGCTGAGCCTCTCGTCTCAAGCCGAGATCCGCATTTGATTCGCAACTTATTGCAACGCTTGCTTCAACGCCTTTCCTACCCTTTTAAATCCTTCTCGCCACTCCACTCTCCTTCTTTTGATCGTTGAAAAAGGATCGCGACGCCGCGAGACGCAAAGATCGACGACCTAAAAGCGCGACGAATTTGTCTCTCTGGGATCTCCTTTCTTCGGTCGAATCGAGGATATTCTCGCGGGTTTCGTGGCGAACCCAATTCGTTCGATTACAAAGATTAGAAAAATAATCGGCGCGAGAAGCTCTCTGCGGTTATCTCTCCGCGTCTCGAGGCTAAATCGTCGATCAATCGATCTTCACGTTCCATCAAAGTTGTTTCTCTCCGCGGAAAACCAACGATCCACATAGTAATCGGACCTACAATTAGATCCGAATACGAAGATGACTTGCGTCTTCCGCAACGAACCAAACCTCGAAAATCGCGATTCCTCACTTCTCTTCCACCTCTTCACTCTTTCAATCGATTTCTCTCGCTCGTTCTCTCTTGCTCTCTCCAATCTCTCTCTCTTTAACAATAGCAGGTACTAGCATAGCTACCACAGTCGTACGTATCGTTAATAGTTACAATTAAGTTTAGATATTACTAAAGGGTACTGATCTCCCGCCTTATCCCCTCATGCCTCTGTTCCCCGCGCTTTCTCGCCCCCTCTTTACCCTTGTTAGTTCCGCGGTTAAAAACTTGTTTTTAGCACCCCTCGCGTGGCCGGAAACCTGCCGACTCGCTCGCCGTTTCCATCTTTCGTTCGATATTTCTTCAAATCCCAAAATTTCCAATTGTTCCTAACGCGAAGCTTCAATTTAGCTTCGATCTTGTCATCGATCCTTTTTTCTACATCTTTCCTAGATCTTCTGAGCGACGTGTTACTGAGAAAGAACCACGACTCTTCGATGACACACGTTATCTATCGAAGAATTCTTTTTCTCTCGTGGGAAATCTTGTGTGATTCTCGACGTAACACGCGACTCGAGTGTTAAAGCATCGGATGAAGGTGAACGAAAACATCGATTCGTTTTCAGAGCCGGTCGATCACTACGATATTCGGTCCAAGACGGAACGACCGCGGTACAGGAAGCTGCTGCTTGGCGTCGGTCATACAAAACTGGCTATATAAAAATTCGTACGAAAGAACGACGAAAGTTACGCCTAAAAATTATGCTACTTATACACTTACACGATACAAAGTCACGCTAAGGTTTCGAAACTAGTCTAAGAGAGGACTCGATTGGACCGAGCTGATCGACCAACGCAAACGTCATCTATCCTCCATCGTTTTATGCTGTTAAGAAAAAAAAGAAAGAGAAAAAAAGAGCACACGAGCTAGTCGACAATCTCTGGCCGCGCGTATTCCGTACGTTTGTCCCACGACGACAAGATTAAACACTTTGTAATACTTTTAGCACCTAGTGCCCGGCCCGCGGCTCGCGACACCTCCGCCATCGTTGCTGTCGTGCTTTTTCTACGCTGCTCGACGGACGAGAACGACCATGACCCGATCTGACAAGCGATCGAATAAGAAGAAATTATGATTCATCAGGTTAATCTCGAGCGCTGACTTTTGGGTCTGTAATTTGCGGTCTTGCGTTAAGCTATTGGACATTTTTTGAAACTTCTTCGCTAGACTTGTTTTATACTGTACGGTTTTAAATGTCTTATCGATCAAATGGTTTGACACTGTCCGTTTTTAAATATTTCAGATCATTTATACAAGTGGAATGATGATTTCAGAGTGCCATAAATATGGTTTTTATTGAGTAATCAACTTATCTTCTACTGGACGTTTTTAGTTATCTCAGATGGTTTGTAAGAGTAGAAGGTCGATTAATCAACTTGTGATTTCGAGATATTATTTGCTTGTTTAATATGGAATAATGGATTTGCCTTATACTGTGCGTCTTTACATATCTCAGGTTGGTTTGTAGTAAGTACTTCTACTTATTCGTTATGCTGTTCAGCGAGCTAAAAGTATCATTAATTTTCTTTAAATCGAACAATCAATTTGCCTTCTACATTTAGATATCCAAAAACAGAATTGAAATAATTTCATACATGATCGATCTCTTAAACATAAACGTACAAAACAGTCTAGCTATGCTTCCTCAATCGCTAGATTTTATCAATTTTTCTCGGTAAACTTATTCGTCAAACGGACAATATAGCGATTTAAAAAGGTGCGAAATCTATGATATATCGATGAAAACAGTGATTATCCTAGAAAATTGAACTTGTCCCGTATAACGCTCGTCGCAAAGAGCCCGCAAGCGTATGAACGCCGTGAGGTGTGTTCGGGGTCACGAGCACGGTCGTGGCACGGCCGTCGAGGACAGTAACAGTGGCCTTTAATAACGTAATCACCTAATTAATCTCGCGAACGCGAACCGGCTGGTTGCTCGCTGCTCCAACCCCTTCACCGTCGTGGCTTTGTTTCCCTTTCCGATACGTCCTTTGTCCTCGATCTTCCAACATCGTCAAACCGGAGGCGACTAACCGGAAGTTCAAATAATCGTTTTGCCTCCGCCAGTAGGATCGATATAAGGTATACATATATCATATGAATCGAAGGAGAGCCAGAAGCTCGATAGCGGTGGAATTAAGAAAGTTTACGAAAGTTTACAGACGTTTGCTGATGTATCGCGAAGTTTGCTCGCGATCGGATGATGTTGTTCCGTTTCGAGAATCTCAGCGATGTCCGGTTGAACGTTATAGGTGCATAGAATGGGGAAGAGGACGTCACGTTGAAAGGAAATCGCGCCCGGAGAGATTAAACTCGGGACCGGAAGCGGTACGGTTTCATAAGCGGGGCAGCGACGCAACGCGGCCATATTCCCGTTCGTGCGAACACACCGCCACTCTCTATCTCTTTTTCCCTTTCTACCTCTTCCGCTCTCTTCTCTCTCCTTTGCCTTTTTCACTTTTTTTTCTTCTCCTACGCTCTACTGCATTTATTATAAAAATAAAATGTAAAATCGTACCGAGGACGAGTTCTCCGAACGGTATTGGAACCGCGAGCACCATCTGCGTCTCGATCGAGAAAGAATCCCACGGCAGCCGTCTTCGCGTTCTTCTAACAACTTTCCTCTTCGTCTTCCTTTTGTCCTCCTTCTTTTCCTCTATTTGCTCGTTCGCGTATATTTTCTATTCGATCGTTCTTCGTATCGAACAAGAGGAATAAACGGGAAATGCGTGTACGACTACGACGGGGGGTGTTCGTTCGTCGATGGTTCGACAGAGCGGATACAGGCCGTCCCTATACCGTTTCGCGACAACCCGCGAAGTGAGTGCATATTTTGAATATAATACATAGGCTCTACAGATATATTCAATATCAATTCTCCGACTATACCAGTGAAAAAATAAATTATTACACGTTGGTAATATCTGTGTGTACGTGTTGGTGAAGTCGTGCGCGATATTAAGTGTCCGCACACCCCGCCCTCCTGTGTCTTTTGCACGGACGCGTGATGCACGCGTGTGTGTATCCTGTGTCTCTGTGTAATATGTGTGTATGCGATCGTGAGTGTCGCCAGCGCGCCACCAGCCAGGCGGGGCGTTCCGTGTGGTTGAATGTAGACGTTATGTGTTGTGTAAGTGTGTAGATCGCCAGGTAAAATGTTTCGGGATTGAGTGTGCCCATTGCGTGTGAATCTGGCCCGTGTGAAATTTTACGCACGCTGTTGCACGTTTCTGTGTGTATGTGTATGTCTCTTGGCTCTTTCGCTGTCCCAGGTATGGGCGCTTGGCGCATCGTTCGACATTTTATATTTTTCTCTTTCTTCTTTTCTACCTCTCTGAAACCCCGAACAAAAATCACGAATTGGTCTCTCTGTGTGATCTATATAGAGTTACGTGTACATTCTGTTCTCGACAATTTTATTTTTCCAGCTTGTTTCAAAATGGCCCGCCCAGTAGATTAAACGAGACACACAGGGAGCAGCCATTCATCGAACGGGCGCCCAGCGCCATCTCAATCGGGGTCCATGGTGTCCGTATTGTTGTTTTACAGTTACAGAATATTAGATACACGCGGTTTTCTATTACGTTAGTCGGTTGCAAAGTTCGCGTTCGCGAGTCCCATCGCTTCGAACAGTTCTTCCTCCTCTTTGTTCCTCCACCATTCCTCTCCTATGAACGTCTTGCACGCACGCATCAGCACACAGGCGCACCGAATTCGAATCCCTCTATACACGCTCTATATAATCTCACTCTCATTCTCTCGCACGTTCTCTCTTTCCTTTCTCTCTCTCTCTCTCTCTCTCTCTGTTTCGCACTCTCCCGCTTACGTTCTCTCGTTCTCATTATCCCTCTATCACGCGAATAGTCTCGTCGTCTTGACCCGCGCGCGCGTCGACCCGGTGCCTCTTCCTCAGTGCTGATTGCGTCCTTTCCGCCAAAGGTATCTCTTTTCTTCCGCTCCCTGTCTCCCTGCCTTAATCTACACGCTGATCATACATATACTATTGGCTGTCCATCGTACGAGAGAGTATCGCGTAAGAATCCTCTCTCGGCCATCCGGAATAGGATCGAATGAGAAAACAGGAGTCGATGAGTTTTGGATAGTTCCTCGATGAAAAATTCATCACCGTCAGAGTATTACGACGAAGATGTTTAAGAGGACCGATCCGTTAAGGATTTGGCTATGTAGAGGTAACATGGCAGCTTCCGGTTGGATGCTCCTTTTGCCAGAGAGAGACAGAGTGGGAACTATTTAGTGGGTGAGCAGGAATCTCGACGGCATCGTCCGCTGCGTGCGCGAGAAGCCCTCCAATCAGATGGTGCAAGCGAAATCGGGTTTGTGTATGTGTGTTAGGGTTACGGAACCTAGACTCTGGACGACGTCTCGACGCATGAGGGAGAGACTGGAACGTTGTCATGATGACCAGGAACGGTTACAATCGACCCGGTCTCTCAGACGATCCTCCGACTGTCCTCCTGCCTGTCCGGCGAAGCAACAGAGGAGCAGGCGCGAATCGAGTCGCGCCAGTCGCTCGGTCTTCACTCGCGCGGGGTATTAGTTAGCTACGAGGAGATGCTGGTATTGGCTGGCCGGATACGGCGCCACAGAGCCGAGGCCAAAGTTGTTCAGACCCTCGACAAGCGCTGTTTTATCCTGTTGCTGACCAGACCCATTCACGTTGCTATTCGTCGCGGCTGAGCCAACCGGGCCGAGATTGCCGGCGCTCTGCGAGTTCCCATTGCTGCCTGCAGCGTTGCTGGTTCCGTTCACGCTGCCACCGTAGAACTGGTGGCTAGCGATCGTCGTTGGATCAAGGTAAGATGACGGGAAGTTCACGCCTGTGTATAGATCAGCGGAGAGGTAACCACCGTGGCTGGACGAATCGAAGATGTTGCGGTGAGGAAATTGAGGATGATACGCGGCTGGACCGTGCTGGAAGAAATACGCGCTTGGGTCTGCGTGTTGTTGACCGGCACCAGTCACTAAGCTTCCTGGTGACAGGCTGCGACTCCGAGGAGAACTCTGCGACACTGGCAAGCCACCAGCACCAGCCTGCTGCTGTTGTTGCTGTTGTTGCTGCTGTTGTTGCTGCTGCTGTTGGTGCTGTTGGTGATGATGATGATGATGGATTTGTTGCTGCATGGCACGTTGCTTGATGTAATTCGAGAACTCGGTGGGGGACATCCTGAAATTATACGATTACACATAGTTCAGTTGTACGATCGGTAGATTGGTTACGCGAATTGTGGCTAGGGTTGCTGTCGGGATGCTGATCTTTGGATTGAACGATACACGGAGACACTGAGACTGTGACCGTGAACTCTCATCACATATGTTAAAATTGAAAGTTAAAAAGGGAATCAAATAGAATGTCAAATTCACCTCAACATCCACAACATTCAACTCAATCCCCAAAAAGATACACCAGTAATCAACCAACCTGTTCGCCCGTTTGCTGCTGGTTTTCAGTTTGGTGCTACCGAACTTGGTCTGCGCGAATGTGGCGGTGGTGAATGTGAGCGGTGCGGTAGTTCGTGGGATGAAAGCCGGGACGGGACTAGGCGAGCCCTTGAACGAGCTGGTGATAGGCGTCGGCGAAGGT